GTTTGTCTAAAGTCAAGGATCTATAACTGGTACTTAGTTTTAATGATACAGTCTGGTTATTATGCTGTTTGGAGGAGTTCTCACGGGTAAGAGCGCTAACTAGCTACCATCACATGTACCTTAGCTTGACTTAAATGTATTAAACGTATAGTTAAGTGATATCAAAATACAAATAACTAATGTCATGCAAACATATTAATATTTGCTTGATTCCAGTGTTGAATTTAGCACAATTGCATACAAACATTAAGGGGTTTTAAGATTCTGAAGTATTATGCAAAAAACTCAATAACTTAGATTATTATTTATAGTTTTGCTGAATAGTTTCATGTCCGCTTACCTTAGAAACGTAAAATGCGACGGCAGTGTGCAGATCATGGTGCAGATGGGGAGCATGTTAGCTTAGCTTGGTAGCTTCAGCAAGCTCTGGAACTTCCAGCTCGGCTCCGCCTCTTTGCCCTTATTTGGAGCAGGCTGGAAAAGGCGGGAGTTGAACTCTGACGTCACTGTCGAGCCGTTAGTGGCCGACTCCGCCTACTAAGGGCTTCTCGGCAACTCTGCAGAATCCTATGGGTGACGTCACGGACCCTACGTCCATTTATATATACAGTCTATGGTTCTAGCCAGCGCCATATAGACTATATGGCGCTGGTTCTAGCTAATGATATGACTGCCTGCTTATCGAAGAACCTAAACAATAAGCGTTGCTAGGCAACGGCTTGCACAGCATTATGCATATGTTTATATGAGGGGTCAAAATCCCATGCTCATAAAATGCTCATATATTTGTTTCTCTTCATTCCCCATGCCCCAAAATAAATAAATATACAAATTTTAGGAAAAGTATCGAAGTTAGAGCAGTGTGGGTATTATATGAACAGAGTTACACATATTTCAAAACGCGAAGTGTAATAACTGCAGTTTGCCTCCCTGTCACAGAGAATGACAACGATCCTCAGTGAAGCACAAGCCCATGTTTCACTACATTGTAAGGACAACTTATTAAAAAGATCAGTTCAAAGCAACTAATGTCGTCTTAGTGTTATTGCATGATGTTAAAATTGGTTTGCCATGAATTTAGTGATGGATTGTAAACATTTGAAATGTAGCATTTAAGTGTTTATCCGTTACAATGTTGTTGTTTTAATAAATTAGACTCTGATGGTGCAGCGCTGTACTGTACCTCTTTATATAGGCATTTTGTCCCTAACAAATTGTTTTTGCGCTGATCAGGGGGTACTTGGCGGAATATTTTTTTCAAAGGGGGTACATTATTGAAAAAACTTTAAGAACCATTGCCGTAGAGGATGCTATTGCAGTAGTCGAGTTGTGAAGTGATGAATGCATGAATCAGGGTTTCAGCAGCAGAGGAGGAGGAGGAGAGTGATGGGAGGAGGAGAGTGATGGGAGGAGACGGGCAATGTTTTTGAGGTGGAAAAAGGCGGTCCTGGTGATGTGATTGATGTGGTGGTTGAATTTGAGCTGACTGTCGAAGATGACTCCGAGGTTGCGGATGTGAGGCGGGGGGAGATAGAGTGTGGCTGAAAATGGTGAAGTTGAAATTCTGGATGTCTTTGGTACGGGATGGGGGGCCGATGATGATGATGTCTGATTTGGCACTGTTCAGTTGGAGATAGTTTGTTTGCATCCATGCTTTTATTTCTGAGAGACAGTTGGTGAGAGTGGAGTGTGTTGTGGGGGTGATGGTTTTTGTTGAGATATAAAGTTGGATGTCATCGGCGTAGCAGTGAAATTGAAGGTTGTGGCGACAAATTATTTTGCCAAGGGGGAGCATGTAGAGGATGAAGAGGAGGGGGCCAAGCACCGAACCCTGGGGGACGCCTTGGGACAGAGGAGCAGTGGAGGAGGTGCAGTTGTTGATGTTGATAAACTGATGTCTGTCGGTGAGGTAGGATTTCAGCCAGGAGAGTGCAGTGTCGGTGATGTTGAGTCATGATTCGAGGAGGGACAGCAGGATGGTGTGGTTGATGGTGTCGAATGCTGCAGTGAGGTCGAGGAGGATGAGGATGTTCAGGTTGCCGGAGTCAGAGGAGAGGAGGAGGTCGTTTGTGTGTCGGAAACCGGATTGAAATGGCTCAAAGAGGACATTGGAGCTGAGGTGGACTTTAAGTTATGAGGCATGAACACGTTCAAGTATTTTTGACAGAAAGAGGAGATTTGAGATGGGCCGGAAGTTGGACATGATGTCAGGTGTGAGTCCGGGTGTGACAGCAGCCAGTTTGAGAGAGGGGGGGAACTGATCCAGATCTGAGGGAGGAGTTAATGATGGTGGTGATGAGTTGGGAGATGGCAGGGAGGCTCTCTTTAACAAATTTGGAGGGCATTGGGTCAAGTGTGCAGGTGGAGTTAATTCCAGTCATGAAGTCGGACAGTTGCATGGGGGTCACAGGGGAGAAGTGGGACAGGGGCTGTGAGGTGAAGGGGGGGGGGAGCCAGGAGGGGAGGTGGGGGGGTGCTGATGAGGGTGTCAGATTGCTGTAAATGTTGCTGATTTTGGTTTGGAAAAACGAGAGGAAGGAGTTGCACTGTTCTGTGGTGAAGGACGAGGTGGCGTTGTCACAGGGTTTGAGAAGTTTGCTGATGGTGGAGAACAGATGCTTGGGGTTGCTGGAGCCAGACTGAATGAGTTGTGAGTAGTAATTAGACCGGGCTGCTTTGAGTGTGTTACTGTACTGCTGGAGATAGTCTTTGTAGATTTGTAGGTGGACTGTTAGTGTGGCTTTCTTGTGTTGGCGTTCAAGTTGACGTTTCCTTGATTTCATTTGGCAGGTATACCAGGGGGCGGAGTGTATGAAAGAGACATTTTTGGTTTTTGTGGGGGCCAGTTCATTTAGACAGAAGGAGAGGGTGCTGTTATAATAGTCCACAAGTTCAGATGGGTTTTCACAAAGTGGGGGGGGGGGACAGACATCTTGCAGGTAATGGAGGCAGTGATTGCTGAAGGTGAGATGGATTTGAGATTTCTGTAGGTTATTGTGCGTTTTTGCTTTTGGGCGGGAATGGGGATGTTGATGTCCATGATGATGGCTAGGTGATCAGAGATGTGGAGATTGAGGCTGGACAGATGATGGATGGTGAGACCAGTGGAGCAGACCAAGGCGTGCGTTGAAGCTTCCAACGCTTCTGCCCATTCACTTTGAATGGGGTGACGTCACTTTTAGCCGAACTGTATTTTGGGAAGCGACGTGGAGCGTTGCTGGCGTTGCTGGCTTCAAAAGTTGAGCAATGTTCAACTTTTGACGCCTCGACGGAGGCGTCAGCCAATGAAATCCCGTTTATGCAAATCTGCCAATACAAGCGCTAGCCAATCAAACCGCGTGTATGCTGGGAGAGACTACGCAGGTCATTTCCTCATATTCAAAAAAATGGAGGGAAAATTCATTTTCGCGGTAGTGAATCACCCGGTGCTGTATGATCAGTCTCTGTTCATCTACCGGGATACAAACCGGAGGAGCGAGGCATGGAGGGAGGTGGCAGAGACAGTGGGTGAAACTGGTAGGTTTTCGCCTGTTTGGGGATTTTATATCCAGTTTACCTCGTTTTAACATTGCTATTGCTTTGTATGTCGGGGGCGGGAGATTCATGTGATTGCTTGTTGGTCGTGTTGCTCGCAAAAAATCCCCAAGATTCAGATACGCCCACCTCCAAGCGTCAACGCACGCTGCTGTGTGGACGCTCCGTTAAATTCAGAGGCATATTTGCAGGTCGGGTCGTCAACATGAATGTTAAAATCACCTAAGAGGAGAACAGATGGAGATATGGCAGAAAGCTGAGTAAGAATGTCAGAGGTCGGAGAGAAAGGAGGGGTTTGGCTTCGGGGGACGGTAGATGATGGCTGTGACCAGGGGAGTGGGACCAGAGAGTTTGAAGATCAGGTGTTCAAATGAAGAAACATCAGGGATGGGGATTATGGTAGCTTTTATTTCCTTTCTGATAATAGCAGCTATACCACCACCCCGCCCTTGTGGGTGTGGTTTGTCAATGTATGTGAATCCTGCGGGGGGTGATTTGATTCAAAGAAAAATAGTCCAGTGGTTTTTGCCATGTTTCGGTCAGATACAGAAAGTCCAGGTTATTGTCTTTAATGAATTCATTCAGAATGTGGCTTTTATTATGGATGGAGCGTGTGTTGAGCAGGGCTGCTCTGAGGTGACGTTGCATTGGGAGGGGTTGTGTGGACCGGAGGAGTGGAAGGAGATTGTAGATTATAGGAGATAATATAATACGTTTATTATATGGTTACATGCTACTTTACAGTATATCTATATATGTTCATTTTAATACATTTCTTATTTTATAGTTATTTATCTTTCTTTTTTTTAATCTTTGATTTATCCTTAATTGTATTCATCTGCTGTCCTGTTTTTCAATCTTACCCTGTTGCTGTTAAACTACTGAATTTCCCCACGGGGATTAATAAAGGTCCATTTTATCTTATTTTACAGAAGCATGTTGCCCATAAACTATATGTCCCACAATGCATCTCATTTTGTGACATGCGCACTGAAGAGACTTGCAATTATTTGCCCTAAAAGGTCTTTACATTTGTTTTGTAAAGCACTTTGAATTGTCGCGTACAGAAAAGTGCTATATAAATAAACTTGCCTTGCCTAGACTTCTGCTTTCAGACATATTTAATTATGAAGTTATTACCCTATCCGATAATAATCCAATGCAGAGGCAATATTGTAATATAATACATTATTTCATATATATATGTATATTATTTATATAGTTACAACCGGCTCTTTGAGTGCAACCATAATGCTAATGTAGCCCACGATGACATTGAGTTTGACACCCCTGAGCTAAAGCATCAGATGTTTATTTTGTGATGGAGACCAAAACTGGAGCTAAAACAGAATATTGGATTAACATCGGTATAGAATAAAAGCTGCATGTTTTACCTGGATTTAGTGCTCAAATTAGCTTCTTTGCATTGACATTGGCTGCTCAAGAAACAAAGACTGACACATGCATCAGGACTGAACAACATTTTATTCTGTACTTCACTTCCAGAACTTCTGTACAATACCAACGTTTTGCAGACCTGGAAAATATCCCGTCTGCAGTAATCGGGCTCTTATGGAGCCACAGAGGAACCCTGCTATAAACACAACACAACCAAACAGGGACATGACCTCTTCACTCCAGGAAGTGTGTTGCACTCAACATTTTGGCAGTCACATATATTCTGCTAGGAGCTGCTTCGCATATAACCATTCTATAACATAATAAAACTAATTAAAAAAAGAAATGCCCTATATTAGTTATTCCATTCGAAGCAACCTAGCCTCTGCCAGGGGACCGGGGTTTGACATCAGAAGGAATTGGCTCTTCTCTTCTTCAACACGACTGCACAGACACTGGAGGACAATGGAAGGCAGAAAGGAAACACTACAAGCACGAGTCATTCTTTTGTCCGGCCATGATGTGACTATGATTGAAATAGCTACACTTAAAAATGAAATGTGTACTTTTTGGGGGAAAATACTTATTTTCATACATGAGCTAATTGGGGCTTTAGCCAGCAGCCAGTTAGCTTAGTTAAAAAAACAGCTAGCCCAGTTAGCTTAGCTCAAAGACAAAAGCTACCCTTACTCTGTCCAAAATGTAACAAATAACATACCTTGTTTGTTCTATATGATATATAATGTGTTAATCCCTCAAATTGGAGGTGCTAGTAAATTGATGCTAAGCTAACTGTTGCCTCATAATAAACATACACACTCGAGTGACATTAGTCTTAGCTAATGAATGTGAATATGCATATTTCCAAATATCTGAATCTTCCTTTAAAGGATAGATTTGTATTTGAAATGTTCACATCCTGTCTGAAATCTGTTAGAGTTATTGATGAATAAGTAACCGCCCCCTCTCCATACTGCAGTGGAGAGATCACTTACTAGTGCACTGCAGATGTTTTGCAAAGTTAACCTGAAGCTAATCTTTTGATGCTAGTGTTTTTTGTTTTATTATTCTCTACCTTCCACCGAGATGTTTCCCCACATGGAACCCCCCCCGCCCGCCCCACCATGGCTCAGATGCATGCTGGTAAAGGACAGACATCTCCACTGATTTGTGTCACTCACAGCTAAATTGGATTCAAACGTTATATTTTCACAGCCATTATGAACATGAAATGAACATAAGGCATGCAAGCGTCACATTAAGATAGAAATATATCTGAACCTATCCTTTCGGAGTGTCTAACAAACCCCTATTGTTTTTAAAGAACAGGTCTTGTTGTGATCAGACTGCAACAATGCTGTCAAAAGCTCCATTTCCTGTGTGGCTGGAAACAAAACAAAGTGTTAGCTGAAAATGTATTGGCTAATCAGCCTTATTCCCCCTTATGATAGGATAGTGAAACAAAACCAAATATTCACCAAGCCTGACATCTGGTGGTGAAAAGCATGCACCTGAACAATGACAAATTCATATTGTTATAAGAGTACAGGTTTCTATTGAACAAAAGCTACTTGGTCAACTAAATCAAAGTCAAATGAAATGGAAGTTAAAGCAGTAAGAAGCTGGACTGTCTGTATGGAAGCAACAAAGCTTCACCCTAAGCTACCGTCTTTTTGAACTCAAAGGTCTGTTTTTGCTTCCTTGAACTCAAAGGAGACCCTTTCAAGAGCAGGCTTTCACTGCTGCAGCACACTCAGGTCACCCCCCCTCCACTGGCCCAAACCTGCTTCCACCCCAAAGTGAGCTTCTCACATCAGACAGTCTTTCCTAGGTAAGGTATAAAGAACCCACAGGGATTGTGGTTTAAAGTGGGAAAATGGAGAGGTTTGAGTCATGAAACTACACTTTTTTTTTTCTCCACAAGCAACAATGGCTGGTTCATCTCAACACCTATCAGGCATTTGGGCAGCCATCAAGTCAGGATATCAAAATGAAAGTGTCACAAACACACCGGGCCACATTTACCAGCACTTTACGTGAATGGTATTCTTTTTTTTTTTTAATATATAATAACCAATTCTCCTCTTTCTAAATTCCAATGGTGAACCCTGGACTCAGTCAACTTAGACGTAGCATTCTCTTCTGTGATTTTGTTCCTCCCGTCCTCTTGTCTGTAGTTCTTGACCTGGCATTGAGTCCAGCACTGTCCGGGTGGGGGGGGGGGTCAGGGCTGGGAGGAGCCCTGGCTGTCGGGGTCCGTCCCTGAGGAGCTGGTGTCAGAGTCCGAGGGCTCATCGTTGTGTTCCTCCTCCGCCAAGGTTTTCTCCCGTATCCGCCTGTGGGTGGCGCTGAGGCGGGCCAGCAGGCCCTGGTAGTCGAAGCGACCGCGCTTCTCCCCGAACGGGTCCTGGGGGGGCAGGAAACACAGAGGTGAGACACAGGTGGGTGGATTTTTCACTCAGGAAAATTACTTTTTATCCGTGTTGTGATGTACCTAAGTAGACCTAAGTAGACTTACTTGGGTACTGTCCTTAAGTAACATTTTGAGAGACTTTTACTTTACACAAGTATTTTAATTGTTTGCTACTTCATACTTCTCCTTCACTACAATTCAGAGGTACTTTTCCTCCACTACATGTATTTAATACCTTTAGTTACTTCACAGATGTGGATGAATGATGTGAAATATAATCAAGTGTTGAATCAGACTTTAGTTCCACCTGGAGTAAATCCACCAGCTACCCTGCAGAATACAAAGTCATTCAAACTAGCTGCACCTTTACCAGCTTTGAGAACACTTTCATGATCAATCATTATAAAACATATCATATATATTATTCTGAAATGGACCAATCTGCACAATGACTACTTTTACTGTCGCTACTTTCACTATATTTAGATGCTAATACTTTTCTACTTTTACTTGAGGAACATTTTGAATGCAGGACTTTTACTGTAACAGAGTATTCCTACACCAAATAGTTGTACTTTTACTTAAGTAAAGAACCGAGTACTTCTCTGACACAGGTCTGTGTCCTGATGAGTTCACTACCCTCTGTTTACATCATGCAAAGATATTTTTAAAAAAAATCAGAATATTTATCCCAGGGGAAATTGGGTTTAGCTGCTACATTTCTAAATAAACAAAATGAAATAAATAATTCAAATACATTTTTTTTTACGAATATGCACAAAATATCAAATAAAATGAAGGTATTTACAAAAATATAAGTTAACGTTAAGGGTCTAATAAAAGCTAGAGTAAAATAAAAAGGTCACAAATATTTGTATGAAATAAAATAATTTGGCTGAACAATAAGTCAAAGTCACACAATGTAGAGCAATATCCAAATCACAGCATGATCATTTCAATATATTTTCTTAATGGTAATGTGAATAATGTTTTGAAAATGGACATTCTCTCTCATATTGCAAATCATATCTCAATTGCAATAGCAGTGCACATAGTCGCAATTTATTATGTTTTCGAGGTCTTGAGCACTGATGCAACACTTTTTGAGTTTTGGGCATTTTCTATAAATCTTATGATTAGGATGGGGCAATTTGACAACTTTTCAAAACTAAGTTCCACAACTCCTCAACTCAGAATAGATCACGTTGTTCAAAGGGTGTCTTCAAACATTTGTGATTTGATTTTGGCAACTGCTACTATTATTATAAAAGAAAGACACTGTGGCAGAAAGAAAGCAATAACAACATAAATAACTTTCAGTCTAACGTAACCATTTGTTTGTTCTAGATATTCAACATCGTTTTATGCTAAAGAGGATGGAAACGGCTAGGTCTTTGCCCCATGAGCATTCCTCTCATGTTATCGAGAAATAGAACATGAAATATGTACTTGTAAATGGATAAAAAGAAATATAGTCACCTGCATGTTCTGTCCCTGTAGATGCAGTCTCTCTTTGCAAACTCCCTCGTAGAAATCATAGTATTCCAGGAAGGACTTCTCCATCACGCTCCTAAAAAACACATGAACACCAATCAGCTGATAGAGGGGAGGGGAGAATGTCAGCAGAGGGGAGGAGAGGAAAAGAAGAAGGAGAGTCAAATGAAACAATAGTGCAGTTCTTACCAAAGAGCATCAGGGCAGGGGACCTTCCCCTCCAGCATGTCACACACGGCCACCCTCATGGTCTCATGGCGGATGCACTCGTTGTAGTTCTTACTGTCCCCTGGGTGACGCTCCTGAAAGACACACACACAAACAGACCAACGAATAAAACACTATATAGAGTGGCACACAATGCCAATAGTAAATGTGCTCCTCGGATGGTCCCGTCTCCACAATTGGAAAGTCGTTATTCCGACTTCGGTGTGTTCAGATTCGCTTTTAACTCAATAACCCCTTGGTCTTCTATTACTAGTCTAAATGCAAGCTTACAGAGTTTTAGGTTTCATTCTACCCCATGAAATACAGCAGTATAAACCCCACTGGTGAATGAATGCAGCTTGTATGAGTCTTAACAAAGGTGTTTGCTAACAATTGACTAAATGAGCCCCCCAAACCATAACCCTGGTGACGTGCAGTGAGACTGTGATGAAGTTGGTTTACAGCCCAATGTTAGATTTGTACTTCTGGCGATTGCATTTATTCATTGAATTGGTGTTAATATGAGGAGATTATCCTGCTGAACAAAATGTGTAACTATCATAAACTTGTGTTTACCACAGATCTTATTTTCTGCAATATTCCAAAATCCAATAGAAAAATCAACCATTGCTTTTGGTCGAGCGAGCCCTTCCTAACTTCAGGGACGACCTACAAAATATGTCATCACTCCACCACTTGATTGCTAACAAATGCAGCATCATTTGCAGTACCTGTTCAAATCCAGGCTCATTGTGATAGGGGTTCTCCGTCATCAGAGACTGGATGGAGATGAGGACAGAGGAGATGCTCTGGGCTGGGCTCCATGCTGGGCCTGTCCATGTCCTACACACACAATAACAGTTTGTCACTTTGACGAAGCGTCCTTAATTCTCCTGTCGTGTTCCTTTCTCCCCCTTTACTTTGGTGATCCTGATCAAATTTGACCGGACTGTTTAAACTGCTCTGACATTAACACAAATAATGTTAATCATCACCAAATGATATATATATATAATATGATATATATTTTTTTTTTGTTTGTTTTTTTGTTTTGTTTGTATACCCCCCCTCCCAAATGTAAAGCGTCTTTGGGTCCAGAAAAGCGCTATATAAAATTAATATATTATTATTATTATATAACACCCTTTTAAGCTGTAAACAATGTCTCAGAATGCTGGTTTACACGAACAACTGCACTGAATATACAAAGAATAGACGCTGTCAATTCCAAAATGAACGTGGTTGTCTGAGACTGTGGGCCTACTATCTGATGGATGAACAGAATCTAGGATTACCCGTTCATTTCCTATGGAGGCCATTTTTGACCGGGAACATTGTAGGTGTAACAAAGTTGACTAAACCACTCAGAATCCAATGAAAGTGGTGATTAGCAATTGTATATATTCAAATGCCTGCTGTGGATGATATCATAATGCCTTGGATAAGTGTTTCAGGACTGAATCCTGACTCACCCCAGGATGCTGAGGCAGACCTTGCCATTGCGGTAGAAGTTGGGGTTGAAGCGGACAGTGTTGTGTCCGGTGGTGATGAGTTTTACCCGCGGTGGGTGGATGGGGTAGTCGGGGGGGCAGCGGAACAGGAAGAGGAAGAAGCCTCCCTCGTACGGTGTGTCGAACGGGCCTGTGATCAGAGCATGGATCTAAAGGAAGTGAAATAAATAAGGGATTTTTAGAGAGGTGTATAAAGGGAGAGAGAGATGCTGCAAACAACAAGACAACAACTGACTACATCCAGTTGTCTCTGATGTACATCAAGGGCGCTGGCCTTTTACCTTTGTCATATCTTGAGGATCAGGGACGACAAACATCCCTGGTGGAGGTTCCTTGTAGATGGACATGATGTCTCTGCAGAGACACACAGAGAGAGGGGGAGACGGATGATGTTACTGAAAGCTAAATGTTACAGGAGAAATGGAGAGAATCTAACAGCGATATCTACCCCTGGCCGGCCCACAACTTTGCTAAGATCATGGGGACTATTTATCGGGTAGGAAGTAGGTATAACAAACACTGTCCACAGAGGATTATCTGTAGCATCTGTGACACAGCCTCTGGAAACACAATACACTGTCAGTTGTACTTTTTCAATGCCCGAGGCATAGATAAAATGTCACACATACCCATTGTATGAGTAGGCAACAAACATCTTACATATACTGTATATACATCGCAGAACCACAGCAGAAGGTAAATCCAAATGCATCTTCTTGGCTAGCTTTTATAATGTGGGTGAACCAACCTGTTTGCCACACAGGATGTTGAACTCGTGATTTGGAAGCGATGGATTCACAAGCAGGTTTACATATACAAGGAAGTTGTTTATTGTATAATGGTGCATTCAAAATTAGATTAATTCAGTTATAAACAAAGTAAATACAAAAGTGTATAAGAACTATTGTAAGAAAATATCACAACAATTATAAGTTTGCAAGAAATATAAATATACAAAATATTAAGAACAATAAGAATATGACAAATGAGTCTGAAAATAAAACGTCACTGTGACATACATCAATAAATAAATAGTTTTTTTGTTTTCATTTAATTGTGAATGATTGTATAACACACTATAAATGTTTAGGTTTCATCTCAAGTCACAACAGGTTTCCACTGATGACAGAAACTTTATAGAAAACGTTCACTTTCGATGTTACCTCAACTCACTGACAATGTAGGCCTCAACTTACCTGATAACATACAACAGCGGTTTTATTACCTCTTTATCCTCAGGATGCACTGCTGTGAAGCCTTCTCGTTGTCCCAGTCCGTGCTGAGGCTCGGGTCCCATGAAGTTGCGTGGATTTGGGACAGAAGGCCCGCTCCTGCCACCCCGCCGACCCCTAGCCCAACACCGGGGAGAGAGGAGGAGACGTGTAGGCTGGGATACACGGACACGACCGGTGGCGAGGAGTAAGTGGCTGGTGTCGCAGTAACAGTCGACATAGGTGCTACGAGAGCGGATAGGCCACTCTGCGAGGCCGCGGGGGGAGGAGGGGAGGCCGGGTTAGAGCTGGAGGGAGCACAGCTCGGGTGTCCCCCCGGCAGAGAGTTAGCCAAAGTCGGCAGCAGCGAAGCTCCACTGCTCTGTCCTGTAACGCCTAAGCCAAGGGCACCACCACTGGACTGCTCTCCAAAGCTGTCCGCCATGGCTCACAAAGCTAGCAAGCTAAACCGTCGTTGTTAATTTATAATGCTAACTGTTAGCTGCATTGACAGATGAGGTGAAGTTACCGCTGCTTGTTGTTGGGTTCAGAGTGCAGTGTAACGGGGCAGAGAAGCGCACACAGGCGAGGCCAGAAAACAAGGCTTTTCTTCCCACGACATGGTGGCTACTTATCGTTAGCTCAACGTTTTATATTTCCCCCAGGCCTCCAAAAAGTATAAAGTTGTCCGAAAAATTACTTATTCCACCTTGCTCTGTCTTATGAAGGCGCGTTCTGTCCGGTTGTTATGAGTGTAAAGGAATATGAGGTCAGAATATTTGGTTTAAAACCACATCCCACTACCCCATTAACATAACGCAACTTCAGGAACTGCTTCCTCACCTGTCAAGCTGAGCGGAAGTGATACACCACTTGACATCCGGTAGGACCTTCAAACTAAAATGTCACTATGAATTGAGGTCAGAAAGTCAATCACATCGGGTTAAAACCAGGTTAAAACGTTAATGTACTACCAAAAGTAGCAAGTGAAAAACTAAAGTCTTTAATTATTAAACCAATATATATACTTTGATTAATGTGAATCATTTCCATATCATAAGGTCCAAGCATCAGACCTCCTGCAGCCATAAAGCATCACAGATGTTAAAATATATTTGGCTAAATATAACAAAACAGCATACCGGAAGTCGAAATGTCTTAAGTAAAGAGCCCAAATAGCACCATTGTTGAACGTTTTCTTTCTTATTACCTGGTAACTACATTGTGTGGTACATTTGAAATCAGGTATCCCAACAAACTTAGACCCCATTTACACAGGAGCGCAAACGGACCGAATTCGTTATCAAAAATGTATTCCGTTCACACGCATTCGGCTCATTGCCCTTCTGTTTATGCCCCGTGGTAGATTTAGTAGAGGAACTAAGGCCCCTAAAAGTTGAGGTACCCCTACCCGAGGTAGAACAAAGCACAACCATGTTTTTTCATTACTTTAATATGTCTAGTTTATTAAAGATGGTGCCGGGTTGTCTGGCAGGCCGTCCAAGCCTCTCTGTTTTAGTACTAGTGTTTGTTCTGTGTCTGTTTTGCTCAGTGACAAGGACCATAGACTCTCTGTTAGTCTACAACCGACACAAGCTGCTTAAGATCAAGGAAAATGTGGGCTTTTTTGCAAAGTTTGGCCAGGGTGGACACACAAACTCCCCTCCCCCCTTCTATCGGATGTACCTGCACACCTACTGCTGGGCGGGCCCTCGTTACCCCGGAGACGCAGACGCCGAGGCACACGCAGTGGCCGGCTAGTCAGGGTGAAAGAGTGGCTAGCGTGGTCTCCTGAGCTGGCTCAGCACCCCCGCCCTTTTCCCCCGGAATATGGACCTTGTTTTCGCCGCCTGGCCTCCCGACGCCCCCTCGCCATGGTTCGGTTGCTGGGCCGTGAAACTCACACGACTGTTGCCCGGGTTCCAACCAAAGGCTCGCTGATAAATGCGAGGTCGATCGCAAACAAAACTTTCATCATCCAGGACTTCTTCACGTCACATGCTGTGGATGTGCTTTTTATAACGGAAACCTGGGTATCGCCTCCCTGATCTGGACCAGATCACTGAGCTCCTGGACAGTCTGAGGTGCAACCTGGCAGGCATCAGATGGACCGAAACATAATGTCCCAGAGGTGCTCTATTGGAATTAGGTCAGGCGAGCGTGGAGCACAGTCAATGGTATCAATTCCTTCATCCTCCTGAAACTGCCTGCATACTCTCGCAAAATGAGGCCTTGCATTGAAGTGCACAATGAATAGTGATAGTCTTCAGACTTTCCCTTGCCCTTCATCATGACACATCAAAACAGTATTTTATCTGATAATTTCAGCCAGTTGTATCTTTTTAACTCTTATTGTTAGAAAGGTCATAGCACAAAATGTTTGTCCTTATGCATACATACATACTTATGCATTCTCTATTGACCCCTTCCCACATCCACTGCTATTCTGCTACCTTTGCGGGCACTCCTCACATGACCAGAGAAAGTCTTTGCTAAAGTTAAAGCACAAACTGATTCCTACAAACAGAGTCATTTGGAAATCCATGTGCATAATCCAGAGAGCTCGTAGATGTTCTAAGGGACAATACAGGGACAAGGAGTCTGACAGCACAGCTCTGTCAACAGAAACATGTGGTCTGGACTAAGAACCATCTCTTCCAAATTAACCTTCTATGCACGGTTTGAAATCAACAATGGCTTAGGATGCACCGAAGGCCAAGGGAAACCGGCCTACTTATACTATCCAGAGCAGATGTGTTCAGATGTTTCAAAAGGATTTCTACACAAGGCACCTGGACCTGATGGCATCACTGACCGAAGTGTGTGCAGAACATCTGGCAGCTTCAGTCTGTAGTCCACATGTAGTCCCCACATGTTTCAAGAAGTCCAGCACTCTCTGCCTGAATGACCACTGCTCAGAAGCACTCACCTCCACCATTATGGAGTACTTTAGTTGGTTGATCAAACTTCTATTACCCTCACTGACCTATCCACTTCGGTGTGTTAAGTCGCCCTGCCTGCTACCACATTGACCAAAGCCCTCCAAGCTTGCCATCAGGCTCAGAGACCTTGCACACACCTGCCTCTGTGATTGGACCCTGACAGGCCACATCCTCCACCTTAACCCTCAACACCGGAGCCTCTCAGTGCTGCCTGCTCAGCCCTCTCCCTTACTCTATGTTGACACACGACTGCATGGCCACACACAGCTCCAACATTATTGACAAGTTTGCTGACGACAAGATGTCATCCACCAGGGCACCAATGGCAATGAGATGGCCTACAGAGAGGAGATCAGAGGCTTGACATCTTGGTGCCATGACAACAACCTTCATCTCAACGTCAGCAAAACCAAGGAGCTTGATTGAGGACAGTGAGCTACAAGGAAAAGGATGCTCCACCATCAACCTCGATGGGACTACAAGGGAGAGATACAACAGCTTCAGGTCCCTCTTGGTTCACTTTAGTCAGGACCTGACCTGGTCTCCCAACACAGACACGATTAAGTCAGCAAGACCAAGGCTCCTGTTCCTCTGCAGGGTGAGAATGTTCAACAGTTGTTGTACATACTACAATCCAAACAATCCAAAATACTGATAAAAAGGTGATCAAGATAAGACAAACCTACAACACCGGACACACAATCACGCAATCTTGCAGCTTTTAATTTGAATTGCATGATGTGCCGCAAAGGTAGCAGAATAGCTGTGGATGTTGGTAGGGGCCCATAGAGCTTGCATATGTACATGGTAAAAATATGTTGTAGTGCTACGACCCTTAGATAGAAACATAATTGGCTAAACTTGCTGAATTGTACAGATAGCATAATGTTAAATGTGTGAGTTGTCATTATTACTACTGCACTGTTTCTACACGGACCACTATTGCGGTAAGCATGTTGTAACTTCCGGTTGTTGTTGTTGTCATTTCCGGGTATCCCGTGTGCCTGTTCTGTTGCTGATAGCTTATTATCTTAACTTAATCGATCGTTTTAAAACTCTTGATCACGGCAACTGCCTGACGTTGTAATCACACGTTACTACAGCTTAAGCACTCACAACAACTCTCCTTCTCTTAGCGACTGTAACTCCACAGTTGCCTACACTCTTTTCGGGTTTGCTAACGGTAGCTACTTTAGCTTGATAGCTAGCCATGGCTCTTTCCCCACCCTCGGGTGCTATTTCCTGCTCTAACTGTCTCATGTTTGGTTACTTCCCTACCTCCTTTACTGGTACTGATACATGTGTTAAATGTAGTATAGTTGTTAGGTTGGAGGTGGGAATCATAGCCATAGAAGCCCGGCTCTGCATCTTAGAAAGTAACTCAGCTACAGTAAAGCCCATGTTAGCCGGTGCGGACCGGCAAAAGGTAGCTCCTCTTAGCCGTCCCCCGGCAACTCCCGAGCAGCAGGGAGACTGGGTGACTGTTCAGAAGGGGCATAACGCGAAACCCGCAGGTCCCCACCAACCCGTTCACGTATCTAACAGATATTCCCCACTCAGCGAGACACCCGCTGAGAAGCCAACTCTGGTTATTGGTAGCTCTATTATGAGACACGTGAATTTAGAGACCGAAGCCTCCACAGTCACATGCATTCCGGGGGCCAGAGCGGGCGACGTTGAGGCGCATCTTAAACTGCTGGCTAAAAATAAACGTAAATACAGTAGGATTGTTATTCACGTTGGTGGTAATGATGTTCGTTTACGCCAATCAGAATGCACCGAACTTAATGTGGAGTCGGTGTGTAGTTATGCTAAAACGATGTCGGACACCGTAATCTTCTCTGGTCCCCTCCCCAATCTGATCAATGATGACATGTATAGCCGAGCCGCATGTCATCATTTCAGCGCTGGTTGTCTTGGTGGTGCCCAGCAAACAATGTGGGCTTCGTAAATAATTGGACAGCCTTCTGGGGAAAACCTGGTCTGATTAAGAGAGACGGCATTCATCCTACTTTGGATGGTGCAGATCTCATTTCGGCAAACATTTCAGGGCTTTGTGGACTTAATCCATGACAAACTGGAGTTGAGACCAGGATGCGGAGTCACAGTCTTACACGCTTCTCTGCGCTCTCTCCTAGCAGTCATCCATAGGAATACCGAACCCAATAAAATACCCAATATTAACGGTGTGTGTCTGCCCAAGGACAATTTAAGGTAAAACCTAATAGGTGTCATACATAATAACCTAATAAAAGTAAATGTAACAACTACTACAGTGCAACAAAACAGGAATATTAAATGTGGTCTCTTAAACATAAGATCTCTAGCATCTAAAGCAATATTGGTAAATGATTTAATATCAGATTATAATATTGATATATGCTGTCTCACTGAAACTTGGTTGAGACATGAAGAATATCTCAGCATAAATGAGGCCACTCCACCCAGCCATATCAAAACTCATATTGCCCGAGGCACGGGCCGAGGAGGTGGAGTTGCAGCAATCTTTGACTCAAGTTTACTTATCAATACTAAACCAAAATTAAATTATACCTCCTTTGAAAGCCTCGTTTTTAGTCTTAGGCATCCGACCTGGAAAACTTTGCAACCAATCTTATTTGTTACAGTGTACCGTCCACCAGGTCCTTATTCAGAATTATTATCAGAATTCTCTGAGTTTTTATCAACTTTGGTACTTAAAACAGATAAAGTAATTATCGTAGGTGACTTTAATATTCATGTTGACGATGATAAAAATAGCCTTACTGTTGCATTTAACTCTATATTAGATTCTGTTGGTTTCTGTCAGAGTGTAAATAAACCAACCCACTGCTATAATCACACTCTCGACCTTGTTCTGACTTATGGTATTGAAATTGAGCAACTATTAGTCGAACCGCATAATCCTGCTTTATCCGACCATTTCTTAGTTACTTTTGAAGTACT